TACTGCAGACCTGAGACCTGATGGCGTGATTACGAACGCAAATGAAAACATAACATGTTTGGAGAGAGCGAATGATACGCCTAGCAACATTGTCACAACAGCGGGAAGAGATGGATTGATAAGATTTTGGGATAAACGAAGCAAGCAAAAAGCTTTGCAAATCGAAAGCCGTGAGTGACAGCGACAACGCTGGTCTGGCGAAGCATGAGGGATAGAAGGCTGACCGTCAGCGTAGCGCACAAACTCGTCTCAGCGTTGGTTTGCGATGCAGAAAGAAACTTCGTCGCCGCTGGCATCGAAAACCCCGAAGACGGTCCTAATAGCTCCCCAGTATACATTTGGTACCTCAATGTATCTCACTTTGATTAGTACCATGTTCACTAACCCAATACTAGGGACCAGCGCAACCCATCAGCGCCTCTTCGTTCATACGTGGATTCCCACACTGACACCGTGACAAATCTCTCTTTGCATCCTTCTCACCCTACTCTGCTACTATCATCTAGCACGGATGGCCTAATCAACATCTTCGACACTGCTCAAGTTGACGAAGACGATGCTTTGTACCAAGTTGTCAACCATGGATCGGCTGTCGCACATGCAGGGTTCATGTATCCTGGCACCGACATTTACGCGATTGGCACGGATGAGACGATCAGTTTTTTCGCATTGCAGAGCCAGAAAGAGGAGGAAGAGGAGCCGGCGCCGAAAGTGTGGGGCGATGTTAGGGAAGGTTTGGGGTGTGAGTATGTGGTAGATCTGGGATGGGCTGGGCAACAAGCTTTTGTTGCCGCAGGGAAGCATAGGTACGTCGTTATCCGATTGCTAAAGCACCAAGACAGAGCTGACTGGTTGCAGCGAGAGTCTTCTCAACTTCATCCCTATTAGTAAGGGCACCAATGGGCCTCTGGACTACAGCTTCGATGTCGATAAGAGCATAACCTTTGCGGGTGCTCACGGGGAAGAAATTGTCCGCGATGCATTCACCGATGTTCACGTAGGCATATTCCCTTGGCTGAAATCCGATTCCTTAAAGTTAACAACCTTTACAGACCAACACAACATACACATGCGGCGAAGACGGTCAAGTTCGGGCCTGGAAACCCTCAGAAGAAAGCGGAACGAACTTTGATGAAGCGGCCGGATCGGCGAAGAAGAAGCGCAAGGAGAAGAAAGAGAAAGCAAGGTTTAAGCCATACTAAGATCTGGTATGAGATGACATTCTCGATTACTCGGACAAATGGATTATCTTCGACATGGACTGTGCGAATCTTTTTGATCGCTCGGGCGGCAGCGAGTATGGGCGTGATCATCGTGAGCTCAGAACTTGCGCATGCGCTGCCATCTGCCATGATGCCTTGGAAAACATCTCGATTACTACCACAAATTGGAAGGCTCATGACATCATCATCATCATCATCATCATCATCATCATCATCAATGGTTGTTAGCGGTTCAGGATCATCAACCGGACGCAACTCGTGCGTGTCACCCAAAGCACAGAACAGTTGCTCAACAACGGTGGCCTTGAACAAGAAATTAAAGCTCATCAGTTGTTGTTTGGCGGTTGCATAGCACCTTTTCATGCCATATTGCCATTCAGCGGACTCCAACCGCGGATGCTCTTGCTCACGGAATGAATCTCATTAACATGACTCATTTCTTCGTTACACACACGTCGTGCGAAGAGGGTCTCCTCTTTTGAGTCGACTACAAGATGAATAAGAAGATTGACGGTCTCAACGCAACATCCGACACCACTGCGATCGCCAATGTAGTAGAAAGCCATAAAAGCTGTTTACTAAGTGTCTTAAGCCTCTCAAGTGAGTGTTTCACAAAATTTCCTTCTCGCAGACGTTGCGCAATAGAGAAATGTTGTAAAAATTGTGGAAGACGTGATCCCAGTCCATTGAGAGGGTTGGATTGATACCACGTTATCGATACATTCGAGGTGAGAGGGGACGCAGAGGGAGAATACTGCCTTCTTTGCAGGGCAACAGCTAGGTGATTGAGTTTGTAGATGTCGATGGAACGGTACAGAGAACGATTGAAGGGTTGGAAGGCGGATGAGAGGCAGCATCACCCACTGCGTGAGATATTCTCTAGCGGAATTGGATCTGAGACTGTGGTACTAGACGAGTGAATCAACGGGCCACCCTAACAAAGGACTTTGAACAGCGGGAATCACAAGAAAACTCAAGACTGAACCTATTGGATGCGTAAAGTGTAGTACAGTGCAACGCCAAGCATACATCGTCGGAGTAAGCTCTCGACAGAACCCTCGGTTGTCGCTCCCCCACCCACAACGGAAGCTAACGTTTCAGTCCAGCCACCCAAACGGGTACAGCATAACCGTTTCATCCCTCCACCCCCTACCATCATCAACCCGACGTCTCGCAAAGCGCCTAGAAGCATTGTTCCTGTATGATCTGCGTATCGTGATATGCCTCGCTACAAGGGCGCCTGAGCGCCAAGGTATCAATTCTCTTCATGCGCCAGTCTCCGCCAGGCTCAATGTAGGCGTGTGGCCGAGTTCTCAAGGCCGATGCAACCGATTGTATTGTTTGGTGTTTGTCTCGTGTGTTTTCTACCGGTGGGAGTTTTGCGCAGAATGAGAGGAAGCGAGATGCAATACGGATGTTGCGGCCAACAAGGTAATGCGCCTGCATCGTGAGGTTTTTCTTGCCGAGGCAGCAAGCAGCCAGCTTCCTGAGGCTTCGTGTATAAGAGGTGCCTGGTGTCGCCTGAAGTAATAGCCTCATCAGCATCTTCAACTACAGTCTTCTCTACTACTCTCTACTTCGCTCTATTCAATTCTTTTCTTCCGCTGGTCGGTTCTTGGTATCAATAATCACTTAAGATAAACACTATTACCGACACCTTCAAAACAACAAACAACAAAACAATCCAACCGCCAAAATGAAGTTCACCATCTCCGCCGTTGTTCTCGCTCTCTCTGCTTTCGCAGCTGCTATGCCTCAGGGCGCCAACGCCAACCGTCCCGTGCCTGAGGGCGCTTGCTGTGTCGCAAACACCAGCTTGAAGCAGGATGTCTGCACTGTCAACGGAGTTAGCGGTCGCTGTGTTCCCGACAGCATCAACAACTGTAAGTTTCCCATACATCCCGAACTACATCTAAGTCGCCCAAGCTAACCAATTTCATACAGGCGGCGCCCAATTGACCTGCATCGAGGACAACCGACTGAACTGCGACCCCAACACTCTGGAGAGGGGTCGTCCTCTCTGCCGTCGCATCCAGGGCGCGTAAACGACTAGTATTAGGTCTAGTGGTTGAAGGAAAAGTAAAAATGTACATATTATACAGATCAGTATGAACTGAAATAGACTTGGTGGTGGTAGGAGTAGCTGTAGTGCCCGGGTCCTGTAGTAGTATCGGCTATGTTGGACGACAATGAAGATGCTGTATCGCATTATCAACTTTTTTCTGTTTGTTGTTGTGATCCTGTGTTGTGGCAATTGTGGGTCTGGATACTTTGGAGAGGTATGATAGTCCATGTCCCATGTTATAACACCTGTGGACCTTCCATGACATGTTATGAGCTAGCGTCAAGCCAAATTTCGTTCTTGGTACAGTAGAATGGTTGAACTTTGAGTCGATTTCCACCTCCGCGACTTGATAGAAGACATCTGAAACACACCGTCTCTCTAAACAAGACACATCTACAGGCCATATGTAGTTGCCATAGCCGGTCATCTGCTACATATATGCGATGAAGCTTGAGTAGGGCTGTAAGCCTGGACCTAAACACGAGGATAGTGATGTCGCCTTCGGGGTTGCTGAGGCCTGAGGTTTGTACGTGTCAGTAATCGGGGCTGTGCTTTGGGGTACGGTACGATTGACATGGCTTTGGTCGTGTTTCGTTGGAGGTTGCTTGAATGGTGACCGTGATGCCGTGGTTGTCGGCCGTACTTGGACACCCACCTAGGTAGCGTCGCGAGAAAGACCGAACGTGATTTACTGCTCCGCTAGAGCATTGCACATCTTGGCGGTATCACGATCGTGCGTACTATTCAGGTAACCATATGTACACCGAGTGGTGGATCAGTAGCGAATTCGCGAGCGTGCTGGCTTGGTGGGTGTTTGTTCTTTTGACGTGTCGGATCCGCACTGTGGGCAACGCCGTCGATGATGATCGCTCCGCCAATAAGCCGATATCCCCGCATCGAAAGCAACAAATACTGTTGTAGAGATCGAAGAAATTGGGGAATTTAAGATGCCCGCTTGTCACGGCAAGGGCGAGAGCGGAGGATATCCACGCAGGGTTCTCCAGTAGCGCCAGGGGCTACCATGAATCGATATTGGGAAACACGAAGCTTGCTTCCAGTCTCTCACCGTTGCCAAGTTAATTCATAACTCACAAGGACGGCTTCCTTCTTACGACTGGCTCATGGTTAACTGGTTGCGAAACACTGTTGACGCAGTGACTGGAACTGATAAAGATGACTTCGTACCCGATCCCAAAACAGCCACTCCAGATGCAGAGCGAGTTCGAGAAGCATCTTTCGGATGACAAAGGAAATTAGAGACCTCTTCACCCCAACTTTCGGCTTTGGCGTTTCCCCCGCATGAGGTCGCGGCATCTCAAATTCAATCAGTGGAGAAGTCCAAACCATCAACATCCGTCGTAAACCAACCCTTCATATTCTCAGCTGAATTGTATACAGAAGATTGGACGAACTTAATAGCGAAATATGGTATTTCACAATTCTCCGTTTCTGAGTCTCCAGCGCAAACAGTAGCGCCAAAGTCATTACCACCGCAGCAATCAACAGCAGAGCAATCAACGCCGCAGACATCACCGCCTTTCTCCATTAAAGCACCGGAACTACAATCTATGCCTGCTTACGAATCTATCATAACCCAGCTGTCGATCCTATCTCGAGCTGCAAAAAGGTAGCGTGCAGCATATTCGGGCGCGAAAGTTAAGTCACCGTCATTAGAAACAAAAGGCATCACTAAGGAAAGCCTCGATCAGGTGATGTCGTCTAGAGACACCAAAGCAGGTAGTGCGCTGAGCAATGGTGGCTCAATCAACGGTCAGTCGCAACGCCTTGCGCCTATAGATACTTCTACGCTAGCGAAAGCCGATACTCAATCCCCTGCGACGCTTGACACAAATGAAGAGTTACACCAGTGGATTCGTAAAATGTACTTTGAAATCGGGTTTCATGAAGCCACGAGCAGTTTCATCGGCTGGCCGAAATTCGTCGACAAGGTCGTAGCGCAAGAGCCGGATCAAACGAAGCATACGCAACTCAGGCGAGCATTGAAATTGTAAGCGAGACTCGAATCTGTTTGGAGCTACCTTACTAACCAGTTTGAGGCTTTGTCCAGGATCAAACCACAAGAACAGTCTCCCTCAGGTGACAGACGTCCAAAAGTTGAAGGCCAGGGCTCGTCGTGAGCGGTTACAGAACACTAAAAACCCAAACTCACGACCCACTGCGACAGACTTTCCGACACCGCAACTCACGACTTCAGCGCCTGGAACAATATCAGTGTCACGCACAGGATCGAAAGATCTTGTGCCGCAAGTGTTGACATCGCAGGCGTCTTCTGCAACACAAGCGTTGGGATCGCATCTCTCGGCAACAAGATCAGTACCACCGCAACCTACAGTTCCTTCACCCATCCAGACTTCTCCTAAGACAGTACCTGTAGCCAAGAATCAGTCCCCGGCGCCTTCGTCTGTTGCGTCGCTAACGGCCGTAAAACGCGATCGGCCAGATCTAGATTTGAGTGACATGGATGATCTCGTTCCAAACACATATCAAACCAATAATCCCAAGGCGACTGTCAACGGAGTTGAGAACGCGCCGTTGTTATCGGGCCCTGTGGTCGTTCAACACGCGAATGATCGAGTTCCTCAATTCGGTTACATCGGCAATTACCCAGATGAAGCCGGACGAGGGGTCAAAGTTTTCCACAATACTAATGTTCCATTTTCCACGTTCATCTGCGGTGTTCAAGGAAGTGGCAAAAGCCATACTACAGCTTGCATGCTCGAAAATGCATTGATCCCGTCCAAACAGCTTGGTCGCTTGGAAGCACCTGCTTGTGCAATGGTCTTTAGCTACGGAAGTTGGAGCACCGGTGGATCAGGATTCAGTGTCAGCGAAGCTGTGCATTTGGCTCATGCGAAACATGAGTTTCCCGGGCAGAGAGTACGAAGAATCACCGTTTTGGTCTCCGCTGACAATGGAGCAATCAGACGCTGCTATGAAGATCCAATTTGCAACGTCCGTGTCGTTCCGTTCAAACTCAACGCAAGAGCTCTCGACATCACTGCCATGCGCGCATTGATGGGGGTCGGTGATAAGAGCCCTACACTCTACATGGGCCAGGTTGAGATGGTGCTTAGAAGGATATCGTCCACAAGCAAGGATGGATTACTCGACTACAACTTATTCATTAGGGAAGTGAAGAAGCTGGACCTGAGTAGGGAACAGGCGCAAGCCCTTGACCAACGTTTGGCGATGCTTGAGTCATTCCTCGATCGGGACGGGAAAGCGGCAGAACCGGAGTTTCTTCCAGGCGAGATGGTCATCATGGATCTGTCTGATGCCTTCATGACATCTAGTACAGCCTGTGTTCTTTTCAAGCTAGGGTTGGACCGCTTTCTACAGTCACCCACCAAGAACAAGATGGTCGTGCTAGACGAGGCGCACAAGGTCTGTTTTCTTGAGGTTCAATCACAATACTCTTGCTGACACAAAATTAGTACATGCTTGATAGTCCTGGGTCAAAGTTTCTTACGGACAGTCTCGACAACATCATTCGTCTCCAACGGCACTGGGGTACCCGCGTCATCATCTCCACGCAGGAACCAACCGTCTCTACGGCACTCATTGCACTCTGCTCTGTCACCGTCATCCACCGCTTTACAAGTCCTACATGGTATGTCGCACTTAAAAAACACATCAGCCCCATGGAAAACGACAATACTCTCATGCAACAGATCGAAGGATTAAACACTGGAGAAGCGTTAGTATATGCTCCCAGCGCAGTGCTTGAGAGAAATGATGACGCCAGCTTAGTAAAAGCTACGGGTCAGCTGCTCAAGATTACTATCCGGAAAAGGATAACACATGATGGTGGGGAATCGATTATGGCCATGTAACTAGCTGCATATAGTTTGCAGTTGCACCAGTCTAGCTCAAACTTAACTTTGGGGCAATCACACTGAGAAGCATAATTGGTTGATTGAAGCCGGAGAGCTCATTTTCGCCCACTTCTGGCTCTTGGCAAACTGGCGTATGCGAAGAAGAGTCTACGGCATGCTCTTGTTTGGCGCTCCTTGGCCCAACTTGAAGTAACCTGGGTGAAGCTTCTGGAACACCTGAGCAGGGTCGTACTTCTTGCTCACAGCGATCAGCTTCGCCACATTCGCCGATCCGTAACTTGCGAGAGGGTCCTCGAACTCGCTCGCGTAGTTCATATAGATGTAGTCGTTGTCCAAGTCCTTGCCCTTTGCATAAGCCTTGACATTCTTCATGACAGTCGAGAAGAACTTGAGAACAGTGGCATCATCCGAAGCCTTGTTCCACCAGGCACTCATGTTCATGATAAAGTATGGGCCCTTGCCGGCGTCGAGACCTAGCGCATTACCACCGTTCTTTTGCATGCCTCTGAATTGGCCTTCGGTGATAGCCTGGATAGAAATAAATGGCGAAAGACCTTCGACAGCTTGAATCTCAGGCAGAAGCGTGTAAAAGGTATCAACGAGGTAAGTGTAAAGCTCGCGGTCGACTTTGAGGGACACATCCCACATCGTTTGACGATTACCGAGGGCTTCCTCTGCGCTACCGCCGTTCATCTTCATGGTCATGTTGGCCAGCGTACCAAATGCTGTGTCGTCCATCACAGGAGAAAGAGCCCGGATCTCATCGAAAACAGGAGGATCAGCGACAGGTTGAGCATAGTGTGTTTGGACTATCGCAATCTTTCCAATACTGGGAGTGAAACCAAAGGACTGTGTGTGGTTAGAACCTCGCCAATGCACACACCAATGGTAGAGGATACGTACAACAATCTCTGCAGCATCTGTGTCTTTAGAAGACCCAGTGACGGCGAAGTTGTAAAGAGCGTCAAGCACGCCGTTGAAATTGTTTTCTGTAAAGATGCGCTGGCCACCCCACATCTGGCCAAGCGGAAACGCATCGAGCTTGAAGTTGGTAACGATGCCAAAGTTTCCACCGCCGCCCCGAAGTGCCCAGTAAAGGTCTGAGAATGCCGCAGGGGTAGCGATTACCACGAGGCCAGAGGCTGTGACAACTTCGTAGGCGGCAACGTTGTCACAGGCCCAACCCACCTTGTTGGAGAAGAAAGAAATACCACCACCCAATACAAGACCTGGAACACCAACAGGGGCCATCTAAAGCAATGTTAGCAGAGCTCCATGATGCCATTCCTAGCTGGACTCACTCTGCCGCCAACGACTCCGAGGCCAGACTTCTCCAATTTATTGTAAACATCGACCCACAAGTTTCCAGGACCGACATTAGCATACTTTTTGTCATTCGAAGCCGCAACAATGTTAAATCTCTTCATTGAAACGGTGATGCCACCTTCAATGCTGGATGCACCAGCAAAGGCAGCATGGCCACCACCCTTGACAGCAAAGGGGCACTGCGTCAAACGAGATATCAAGACCAAAGATGACACTTCGACTGTGCTTGAAGGCTCAAATATACATCTAGGATGCAATTCTCCCTGTTGCGCAGCCCAATATGTGCTAGTGAAGGTGTCATAGGCTGGGGTTTGCTCCGATAGAAGCTTTTCGCTACCGTATATGAGCTTTAGGGAAGAGCACTATTGATCTGTCAGTGCTTTTGGCACCATGTGAGGCTACTCAAGAGGTGACGCACAGCAATCGAGCAACCACTGAGGGATGTTCGTTCCACCAAGCCCGAAAGCTGAGGGATGGCGGAGACGTTAACGCCGTTTGCGATCAAAGCTTTAGTCACGTTGAAGTCTGCGGGCTCGAAGACCCCTGTTTGAGCTGAAACGAATGCCACGAAGGCGCCAAGGGCAAGGAAGGATTTCATCCTGGGTTCAGTGGGAGAGAAGAAGAAACTTGGGCCTAATCCAAGACACTGGTTGTGATGGAGTGCAGGTTCGATCTAATTTATTCCACTACGGTTGGTAGATCCGCGTCGGACAACGATTGGTGCGCTCCATCCGCAGCCCTTCATCCTTCTTTTCTTAGCAACCCGTCCCCGGCTGCAACCTAAGACTCAGGGGCCATCGTACAGTAGCGTATGCAATAGGGCTGCTACCACAATATAAACACTGCAAGCGAGCTCGAAGGGATTCCTTTCTGTAGATGGCTCGCGATCTTGTGTTGACTAGAGCTTGTCTCCCGCGACCACGTGCGGCGCCTCGAACCTCCTATGTGGTACCCCAGCCATTGGCACTGCCAGATTTTTGAAAGCGGAAACACAAGTGCAAACGAGTTGCAGATTTTAGACTCATACCAACGGCAAGCACCTGTGGCTCGATGTAAGTGAAATGGACATACTGTGTATGAAGACGTGATAGTGTTGAACCAACGACCGGTGGCCATGCAAATCAGGCCTCCTCGGGAAGACCCCAAGGCAATTCTACACACTCGTGGACGTACCCACGCCGAGATAGCGGAGATCGACCCTAGATGCCAAGCCGCTAAGAAACTCGTCCTAGTTGCGCGGGGAAATTTCCTACCATGTCCCCACCCATGCCGGCAGCGAGTGCGGACTGTTGTACTTACATCCGTTCGCCTCCCCGTACTTTCTTCGAGCATAGTTTGTACACCAACGTATAGTTTTTGTAAACATTCTTTGTGCTGGCCTTGCATTCATGGCTCATCTGCCACATGCTCTTAAGTCCAGAATAGGGTGAGGACTCTGTCAAAGTTTAGTCATCTGCACCTACAAGGAGTGTGTTCCTGCCTCACAGTGTGCAGGGGCGCTGTCCCGCTGTGCGGTTCCGAACACTGGTGGCCGAGTGACCACTAGGATGCATGCCGCGAGTCCCAAAGGCATGGTTGCAATGTCCCTCATCGGGTGCACATTTCGTACGTTCATCAGGTTGATAATCTGCAATGACATAGTCAATTCGGTCCTGGCAGCTTACTCCAATCCGTTGCGCTGCATAGTCAGCATGACAGCCGATCGGGAGGCGTTGAGTCGACTCTAAGCAGTCATCCACTTGCATCGCTTTGCATCGCCTCCCTTTTTTGCACGATTGGTACAAATTGGCATGTTCCAGTCCGCCCGCTGAACGTGGGATGAAGGATTGAGCCTCACTCAGTTTTCTTATCAGTCAGACGTCCGCTAATACGCCCATTGTTGATCTTTCGATCTTGCCAAGCGAGAAGACATGCAATCCTTCTTCTCAGATCACACTCCATTGTCAATGTACCCCATGGTTCCTTTTTCCATTGTTACCAATCATCGCTGGAGGATTCTACAGGTGCTAGTCATGACGGAGTGGGTTTAGAAAAAACTGCATTATGAACGACAGGCATGGGTCGTGAAGACCGTTGTACGAATGGGGGCTGCTTACGAGGAACGTCTTCCTTGCCACAAGCTTCATTTATCTTGATACGCCAACGATTATTTGTCTCCACTCCGCAGTACGTTTCCTGAATCCTTCTGAGGCATTCAACTATCCATCATGTACGCAGCCTCGAAGGCGCCGGTTTCGAAGGATGTTCTTCTTCGTACGAATATTGTTATGCTACTTCTGACATCTGGATTTGTTCTTGCGCGCGCTGTGCTGCAAATCGTCAAACGCAAACCTTTTGAGTTGCCCGATTTCTTCGTCTACTTTGCTTTCTGCTTGTTTGTCGCACTATGGGCTTGTTATCATGTCGTTGCGCCATCGATATACAGAGCGTATGCAGTTCTGGAGGGAAAGACTGAACCGTACGCCACGATGAAGGACGATGCTATAGCGATGTTGAAGTTCCTCGTTGCCGGCCAAATGTGTTTCTACACACTTCTCATTTCGGTCAAAATGTCGTTGCTGACGCTGTACCGAAAGCTGCTCGCCGGACTGCCGAGGATCTACAGAAAGATATGGTGGAGCATAGTCGCCTTTTGCGTGCTGGTAAGTACCAAAAGCCAAACCTTCTATCACGGTCACTGAACGGAGCTAAAGAACATCTAGGCGTGGGTTGGTAGCATTGTTAGCACTCTCACTACATGTGACGATCTCAACGCGGAGTTCAGAGAAGGCCGATGCGGAGGAACTGCCAATGAAGACCAGAGGGTTATTTTCAGCCTCTACTTCGCGTACTCCGTTGATGTGGCAACTGATCTAGCTGGTAAGTTGAGCAATTACAGAAGATTAGAGTAGTGTGCTCATATTTGTAGTCATGTTTCTGCCACTACGTCTCACATGGAATCTTCAGATGCCTCGCAATCAAAAGATAGGTATCTTTGTATTGTTCGGTAGCGGTTTCATTTGTATCGCTTTTGCAACTATACGTTGCTTACAAATTGGTGTGGATGGCAATGGAAAGGCTACGACGCCAGAACCTAAATGGTTGATGCTATGGACTATACTGGAATGCTCAATAGGTATAAACTCTCTCTTGACCCGTTGGATTGGGAATGTGACTGACTTACTTGGTAGCCATAATGATTGCTTGTTCACCCGCCTTCGCATCCTTTATTCGGAAGCACATGGATACGACAAAGGCATCGTATAACGCTCAAGGCTATTTGAAACAAGGGACCGATGAGATCAGAATGAAGGGCATCGTAAGTTCCTCAGGCCGACGCAACCGCGACGCCGCGGATATATACTGGGAAGATACACATAGTAGCCAGGAGGAACTCGCGAATAATTCCGGGGGTATCATGGTTAAGACGACAGTGCACCAGAATGACGAGATTTCCAGCCACAGTTCCAAACATGGGGCAACCAGCCAGCCTTAGACATTGGAATCGTCTAGCGAAGGCAGGAAAGTAAATAGTACTCTTGTGCAATATTGTCGAGGTTGATTCGTCAATACATACACAGCTCTTAAGCTTGTACCACCCATACATACAAGTATCAACCCAAAAGGCTTGTTCACAAGACACGGAGCGAACCGGACCCTTGTATTTGCGGCAGAAGGGAAATTGTCATTAAAGAGACCGTTTTGGTCGATGAATAGACTCCCTTTGGGTTTTGTCTTCCAGTATAAAGACAGCTATCTCTCTTGATTATTACTGAAGATTGTTGAACATGTGAAATGGCTTAGCTGTTAAGCCAATCTACGCCCCTCACCATCTTATCGCATATATAGCCAGTGACAAGTGCATACGTTCCCTTATGCAGGATGTCGATAACCTGCTCGTTGATCGGCCACGTCCAAGGAGCCGCTGACACATTCGCGGTAGTCTCCATCAGTTGGTCCAGCATGATGCGAAGACCAGTATGCATAAAGACAGCAACCGGTCCGATGACACCGTAGTAAGACATGACTGCTCGGAATGGTCCAGCAAGCATTCCCATGCCAAAATGATGTGCATGGTTCAACAGAAAAGTGTGACGCTTGTAAAATTCCGGTGAGACGCCTAGATGGTTGCCCATTGTTCGTGCGGGTACGTAGGAATCCGGACGACCAGTGAAGAACTGCTCGATTTTGTTCGACCCAGACATGCTAATAACATTTCATCAGTCGTAGGACAATCACCAGAGCACCATTGACTTACACTAAGGCTCCTACAAATCCGGCACCAACCCCGATAGCGACGGCGCGACCGAACCCAACCTGCGGAAATTTGGGAAAGCTTGATTTTGCATCTGGATACGAGACTGTTCCAGTGGGGGTGTGATACTGAGGCATGTTTGCTACACGTCCTTTGACGACAGGAAGGGAGGATACGTATCTGGTGTGGAGAAGTGAAGAAGAAAAGGCTTAGACTCTCGTTGCCGTTTGTTGTTAGCATTTGACGTTCGCGTTGCGACGCAGGATTGTCGTGGGTGACCATCGATTTTGCTCACTTTGACGTCACGCATCGTCAGATTTCCAGGCTGCGCGGAACCACAGCACTCACATTGAACCTCTTGGTCCTCTATGGAGTGAACAATAGCCTACTAACCCTGTTAGCAACGCATACCAGTAGTGTCTACTAGGAAAGCCGATGCACTCTCTGTCAGCCAAAAGCGGCTCAAGGTGTTGATATGATGAGAATGGGGAGATATAATGAGGTCTCGGTCGCAGACGCTTCAGTCTCAGTACAAAAGTGTACAGCCCACGACGTCTGAGTCTACATGTTCACTCGCGCACCCTATCAGTTGAGTTATTCGCCTAATCTCCTGAGAAGAACTCGACTCACATTGAGATGAAGGGTTTTGGAGACAGAGATTGTAGGTTATAAAAAGTAACTGGGTTCACGTATTCATCTCCGTGCGCAGCAGTGCATCGGGGTGTCTTGATCTTGACTTTATATACGCTCTATTTTCTTTCATCCTATACACTATGGCCGTTGTTCAGTCTCAGTGCAGTGCTACTCACACGTCTTGACATCTCAAAGCTCAATGTTCATGACCATGGTGCTCATGCCCCGCACCCTTCTCCGCAAAGTCAATCTTCCACCCCCTAGTAATGAACACACGCGGATCCCTTACTACCGCGTACGCGGACTTCTTGCCCTCGGCAGCATGGAACTCAAGTGGTACAGGCTTCCTCCTCTGCGTCTCCTTCTCGCCTTCCTGCATGACAACGACCTCAGCCTTGTTCTTCCAGGCCTTAGGCGCGCCAACAATGATGATCTTCTCCACTCGCACATTCTCCATGGTTTTAAGGTACTTTTCGCACTTGACAGTACGCTTGTTGGAGTCGAGGTTGGAGGAAGTAAGGATCTGACGGGTGCCATCGAAGGAGAAGCGGCGGTGGATAAAGGCGCCCATTTCATAGTCGAAGGTCTCGCCGTCGTCCACGTACAGGGTTCCTGCAGCATTTCCGTCCTTGTCGAGTGCGACAACGAGGGTGAAGGGGTCGTACTTCATAAGACCAGAGGATCGACGAGGGCGGTCACGGCGTGGGATGACATGACCTCCCTGCATAAGCAATGGAATCTTCTCGAGGGGAGCTGGAACAGTGTGGTGTCCTGCACCGCTGTAAGTGGTGAAGTCAAAGTAGTCATAGTAGGGCTGGTCGTCCGCAATGTAGATAGAGACACTGTCAGCGCCCTCCTTGGTAACTGGCTTGGCAAGGAGACCGGTGGAACCAATGTAGAGCTGGTCGTCGACTTCAAAACCACGTTCATCGTCAGGGTGTACCCAGAAGTTGGGCCGGATAATGGGTGCGCCAGTAGTGTGAGCCTCGTGGAAAGCAGTGTACCAGGCAGGGAGGAGCTGGTATCGAAGACGCAGTGCCTGAGTAATAATCTCGGTGTAGGGAGAGCCGGCAACGTATGGCTCACGGCGACGAGTATCGATGTGAGCATGGCCACGGAAGAAGGGGTAGTAAATGCCAGCTTGGTACCAGCGAGTCAAGAGTTCCTTGCTCGGGTTACCGAAGAAGCCTCCAACGTCTGCACCGCCGAAGGGGAAGCCAGAGATACCCTGGTTAAGCACCATAGGGATGGAGGCCTCGAGATGAGTCCATTCAGCCTGATTGTCGCCAGTCCACATGGCAGCAGTACGTTGACTGCCAGAGTAGAAGGCTCGGGTAAGAACGAAGGGGCGACGAACCTCTCCCTTCTTACGCTCGGTGATGGCTTGGTAGGTCGCGTTGTGGAAGGTCATGCCGTTGATGTTGTGAACGTCGCGATGCTCCCAGTTACCATGGTGAAGGTTATCCTTGGGCATAGTTGTTTCAGGGCCGTTAAACACCGAGGGCTCGTTCATGTCGTTCCAGATGAAGGTGTTGTGGGCGGTACCCTTGAACTTGTCGTAGTTGAACAAGCCCTTCCACCAGTCGATGGCAGCTGGGTTAAAGCAGTCGATCCACATGGAAGAACCAGGCCAGCACCAACCCTCGTACTGGTTACCATCTTTGTTCTTGACAGCCAGATCCTTCTTCTTCAGCTCGTCAATGATGGGGTAATCGTGAGTGTTCTTAATGTGAGGATCAATGATAGCAACAAGTTTCCTGTCGCGCTTGTCAAGCTGCTGCTGCATTGTGTCGGGATTGGTAAAGGTCAGAGGATCCCAGGTGAAGTACTTCTTCTCCTGTGTGTACTCAATGTCGAGCCAGATGACATCGTAAGGGATGTTGAACTTATCAAACCTCCTGTCAACGTCCTTGACATCCTCATCGGTAACGTAGTTCCATCGACACTGGTGGTAGGCGATAGCGAAAGATTGAGGCATGGCCGTGTAGCCGGTCAGCTCACCATACTGGCGAGTGAGGTCCTGAGGAGTAGGTCCAAGGAAGACGAACACGTCCAGGAGACCACTCTCGGACATCCAGTGAGTCTCAGTGTCGGTATGACCTTCAACACCAAGAGCGAGTGGGTTGGCGGTGTTCCTCTTCTTGGTGACGTCGATCCAAGTCTCTGCACCGTTGAGCCAAAAGACACCGACGGTGGAGCCTTTGCGGTGGGCTTGCATGAAAGGAATGGCGCCGTAGAGGGTCATGGGGCTGTCCATCTCGTACTCGAAGACGTCAGCGTTGTACAGTCGGTATGGCTCAGTGTAAGCATTGTCGCCGCCCCTGGATTTTGTTAGCTAAGAACCAAGATATGGACGGACGCTGCGCACCTAGTCGTTTTGAGAGACAGTCTTGTAGCATGCTCTGGGATACCAAAGACGTGTGCGTATCCGGGGAATGTGATGTCGAGCGCAACTGCCTCAGGGCCTCTCGGCTTGCTGTCCGTGTTTCCGCCGAAGCTCTCATCCCACCATGTGCTTTCGTCTTGGACAGGCTCTTCGATCTTCTTCTCTTCTTCCTTGGTTTCCTCCTCACCTTCCTTCTTTTCTTCTTGGGGCTTCTCAACCTTGGGTCGCCAGTGCTCGACGTTCATGTAGCCACGCTCGTTGAACTTGACTTGTGTCTCGCCGTCGCGTTGGAACTCGATACCGAAGGGTGCATGTCGGATGACAGCCTGGTGCTTGCTGCCCTTGCCGTAGACGACCTTGGTGTAGCCGTCTTCCGTGTCCGGGTTGAAGGCAGCGCCCTTGGACGGGTTCAGACCTCCAACAAGAGTCCATTGTGCTGCCTCATTGTATCTCTCCTTTCGCGCTTTGCTGTCGTGGCGGAGTGTGATGTCGCCCTTTGCCCTCTTCTCCTCGTCGAGAGTAACGCGTGCGACACCAGATTCGAGAAACGTGACGGTAAGCGGCAGACGAGCCTTCTCCTCGCCTTCCTTCAGTGTCTTGAGCACGACAGCATCCAATTGTCCGTCGTTGAATGTGATGGAGGCAGGGTCGAGAACATAGGGTGAGGTCCAGGAGCTCGTAGCGGAGACGTCATCGGCGAACTGGCGGTTGCGCTTGCAGAAGCCCGATTGACTGCATGTTTTGAAGTTTTCGTGTTTGACGGATACTATTGTCTTTTAGTAGCGTCCTTGCAGCTTCGCATGTAAAGAAGAGGAGACGTAGTCGTGAATTGGGGATATGGAGCAGTGAGCTTAGCTACATACCAGCTGGCACGAACAGACACGCCAATAACGCCAAAAAGAAGAAGACAGCCGTCCACCGGGGAGGCTGTTCCCGTAAAATAATCATGACAGGCAGCTCTCTAGTAGACAGAAGCCAGCCCGGAATATCATCAATTCAGCAATCAATCAGCCAACCCTCAGCGCTCGAGATGCCATGTGGACTTTGAAGCAGCGCCAAGGTCAGGGTCCAGCTCCATTGCACAAATCAGGCATAACTTTATGCAAGCTACCCCACTAGACAACAACGAGGGCAGCCCATACCCCACCCCTTCATAAAATTCCAGCTACACGTCCGCCCCTTCTTCCCGATTCCTCTCTTCAAGTCGTATAGACAAATCACTTTTACCAAGAAAAACTCAAAAGTCACTTCATCGCCAAAATGACTACCGAGCAGACGTATGTCCAATGCTCCGAACCCTCCGATTCCACGACGAGGGGCAGCTGAAGGGCGGTGAACGGTATACTGACAGATGAACAGCTTCATCGCTGTCAAGCCTGATGGTGTTCAGGTATGTACAACACTCACTTCTCCCAATGCCCACTCTCCAAGTTGTCAATTGCATCAATCGTTGCCATGAATCTCCATAATCATTCAGCTGTCACAATCGAAGCAGCAGACTTCTCAACAAAAAGCAAAAAGCACATATGCTAACAGATGCTCGACAGCGTGGCCTCATCGGTCCCATCATCACCCGCTTCGAGAACCGTGGCTTCAAGCTTGCGGGTATCAAGATGGTCACTCCCTCCAAGGAGCACCTCGAGAAGCACTACGCCGACTTGAGCGACAAGCCCTTCTTCCCCGGTCTAATTGCCTGCACGTGGCCCTCGCAAACGAGATATATCGAAACAAATCACTAACACTGTCTAGACATGGGCTCTGGCCCCGTCTGCGCCATGGTCTGGGAGGGCCGTGACGCCGTCAAGACCGGCCGCTCCATCCTCGGTGCCACCAACCCCCTCGCCTCCGCCCCCGGCACCATCCGTGGCGACTACGCCCTCGACGTTGGCCGCAACGTCTGCCACGGCTCCGACTCCGTTGAGAACGGCAAG